GTCTGTGGTTTGGGGGAGGAACTTGGATTTTGGAAAGGAATTTCAGGCTTTGTTTTTTTTTTTTCTGTGGAGAGAATAGTAGGAGACAATTTCTTCCCTGATTCCCACAGAAACGTGGAGGCATAGTTTCTAATGGCTACCGAAAAGCAGTTTCAGAAGCCACATGACTTTTAGTCCTGCATTGTTCTCTATTTCATGTTTGCTTGTTTTTCTGCATTTGTGAATGTGTGATTTAAGTACAATCCATCAAAATTACAAGTAAAAGGAGATGTCAGCACTTGCTCTGAGGAATTTCCAGATAATCCCTCCCAAACATACATGCCCCTGATCCCACTGGGCTTGTACACAGCAGGTCCAATTAAAATTAAAAGAAAAAAAAATATTGAAAGTGCAAGCACCAGTTATGTGCTCAGAAGGAAAAAATTGTCAGCAGCTTTCATAATAAAAATATCTCAGTGGATCGTGAACAGGAAGAGGGACTTGGGTCTTTACTTGAGGGCTGTGTAAGATTTGATGTGCTCAGTTAAGCAACCAGAATTGCTACAACACCCACATCCCCTTTTTTCAGCCCTTACAAGGGGCTTCAAAAATAAATAACTGGCTTTTGAACAGGAGCAATTTCTTTGGAGATTCAGTGCACTTTATGCCATGCCAGGCTTATAGGCAACAATATTATAGAATTCTGAATGGTATGATCTGTAGTACAGAGTGGTTAAAATGTTGAGAAGGAAAATAATACTTCTTATACACTTGTTTAAGAATGTCTTTTTTATCATGCCAAGGACACATGTGGCATTTTCAGTTACACTCGGGGTTTATCCAAAGCAACTTTATCTATGTTTGGAAATAAGGGACTATAAAAAAATAAAGAATACAACATTCTGGTTACAATTCTATTTCTGCTTCCAAGAAAAGGAAAGACCCCAACATTCAGATTCTAATTCTCCACTGATACCATGTCACTACTATGTTTCCTATTATCTTTAATAACTAAAAAGATTCATTTTACAGAGCAGATGGCAGCTGTGGCTGGGAAGGTATCTGCACAAATCCCTCTGGTGCCCCCCTTGCATCTTTTTCTTGATGGGGATAGGGGGTGTCAGACAATCACTTATGCTCTAGTCACCTTGCAACTTGACTACTGCAATGTTTTCTACATGGGGCTGCCCCTGAAGACTACTTGGTAGCCTCAACTGATCCAAAATGCAGAAACATAAGCAGTGAAGATCATGCCTTGGCATGTCCATGTAACACTTCTGCTTTCTGAAATGCACTGTATGCCAGTTTACTTCTGGATGCCAAACTTTAGTAATAATTTGTTGCTGGAACTTTGCACTTTGATATGGCCCAAGGGCTAATCAATAAAGATTTATTATCATTACTTGTGGATGTGATTCAGTGTGTTGATGATTACCAGGCACCAGACCTGGTTACTTGAGAGACTCCTGGTCCCTGTTTAATGAACACTCACTCAGCAATTGTTCAAATTTATGAATAGTAGTGTCCCATGGTCATGTGACTTACAGTCTTCCCTATTGACTTCCCAAAAACAAGCTGGCAGGAAGTTGAAAGTCACAGTCATATGAAATCCTCACTTAATGAACCACATGGCCCTTACTTAACAATGGCAATAGGGACTACTAAATCTGCCTTCGCTAAGCAGTGTAGTCATGTGGTTTTTCTGCTTATAACTGTGTCATTTAACAATGGAATTTCTGGTCCCAACTGTGTCATTAAGCAAGAATTACCTCTAACTTTTGTGATTTGTGGGTTTTATTAAAATGTCTTTGTTCAAATTGCACACCATAGGCAGAATCTCTGATTTCAGTTGAATCAAAGACATTTCTATCAATAAATCAATGAAGATATTTCAGTGAACCAGCCCACACCTGGCAAAGAAGAAACAGCCCAGTTTGGGGCACATCAAAGAAATACAACAAGAATGAAGCTTGGATAAAGGAGGTGGATGGGGGGAAAGTGCTAAAATGAAAGCAGTTGTAATAATAGCAGAAATGGTGGAGAAAAGGGCAAAGCAGACCAAGAATTGGTCAGTACCAGGTGATAATGAACTGCATGCTTTTTAGTTGAAATGTCTGACTGGTCTGCATCCACTCATTGCTAAGCAGTTTAACAACATGCTTCAAGGAAGCAAAATTGAACATTGGTTAACATCTGGCAAAACCTAACCTATTATGAAAGGGGCAGCCCCAGGCAACTACAGGCCAATTACTTGCTTACCAAACAACTTGCAGATTGAGAACAGGTGTGGTAGCTGATAAAGTCCAGCAGCATCTAGTTGCAAAAAAAAATCTCTGAAGAAAGAGTTAGAAACTGCTCTAACTGTGGAATGACTCCTCATTGACAAGATGGTTTTGAAAAAAATATAACAGAAGGAAGACCAACTTGAATGTAGCTTGGACTGATTACAAGTATGCATTTGACTCCCTGTTATATGATTGGATAATCAAGTGTCTAGAAATAACAGGACTCAGTAGAAATAGCAGAAGCTTTGTGTAAGGATCAAAGGCACAATAGAAGATACATTGCTGATCAATGATGATAGACTGGGAGCGGTTAACATCAAGAGAGAGATCTTTCAAAGAGACTCTATCATCACTACTGTTTGTCATTGAATCGATTCTTCTGTCAATAATAACTGAACAACCGGCCATGGCTATCAAACATCAAAAACATGTGCCAAACTATTCCACCTCCTTTATGAGGACAATCTGAAGCTATATGGCAAAACAACATCTAAAATGGAATCACTGCTCAACACTGTCCAAATATACAGCCAATATATTGCAATGAGTTTGGACTGGGCAAATGTACCAACCTTAACAACAACGGGTGACACATAGTGAAAACTGAAGGAATCAAGATGCCCTATGTAAGTGACATCAAAGGTGTGGGTGAAAATTTAAATGCAACGACCTGCAAAATAGAAGTAGAACAATTGTGGCAAAAAACCAAAACAAAGGCAGTACCAATACTAATAAGTGCCTTGGGTGCAATTCTAAAGCATTTAAAGCACCATTGGAACATCATCGGCACTGACAAAATCACCATCGGTCAATTGCAAAAGGCAGTTTTGCTTGGAATGATATCTTTAATATTATTAAATCTGCCTATCTCAGGGGAAGGAATCAATAAATGTACAAAAATGCCAAATCCAGGCTAAACATCAGGATGACTATGCAACCAACCATAATACCCACAATGCTAATACTTGTCCTGTGACTGCAAAACAATTACCTGCCCCTATTTTCGTTGCAGGTTAATCCCTGGAATTTTCTACCACGTGGAGAATGTGAAACACAGTCTGGCAGAGGAAATCAATGGAGTGTAAAGATCATTCTTCCAGCACCTGCCTAAGAAGGGAGAAGAATCTAGTGATTCCTTTGTTGACTTGACACTAACTCAGGAGTTAAAAAGCACCTGGAACCTGAGATTTCAGCTAGAAATTTTCAGAAAATATGCAAAAACCGAGGCAGTATTTTTCAGATGATGGCCAAAAATGCATTAAGAGTGCTGAGGGGCTTTCCTTAGATTAGGTAATATTGAAGGTTCTCATCAGAGCTTCCTGAGCTCCTGACCTTGAGTACATGACAATGTCTTCAGGCAACTGTGTGCCACTAGAAACAGACTGTGATGGGATCATTAATTACAGCTTTGTTTAATAGAATACATTTAACACCATGATATTGAGAGTTCTTTGGAATGAGAAAAGCCAAATGGAAATAACTGAATAAGGCATTTATATGTCATCCTGACTTTTTTACAGTGATTGAACTGTACCTCATTTTATTTGGGAGCAATAAAATTAAATGCATTATTGAATGGGCCCTAGCGTTTTATTGGTTTAGTTTAGTTTTCATCTAAAAGTTAAAACTTTGCCACCACAAAGGGGTATTGTATATAAAAAGATGTCCTTGCTTGTTCAAACAACCAATATTAAAGGAGAACTGACATACATTACCATTCCTGTTACAATACAGCAGAAGTTTATTTACAGCAATAAGTAAAGGGTTTTTTGCAGATTGGATAAATATATTCTCCCACTATAACTAAGTAAGCCATGAACATACTTTGCATAAAATAAATCCCAAATTACAATTAATCAGAGGAAAGATGATAAATATATGCCATGGTGCATGGTGAAAATACTAATCAAAGCAGCCTATCAATTGATAAAATTAATTATTTAGAAATGCAAAAACTCCCATTAAATATTTGTGGATAATTGCATAATTACATCCAGATTAACCCAATGCAAAATAGCTACTGCATAAGTAAGAGCACATTTTCTCTCCTCTTCTGCTCATTTCCCAAAAATTTTATAGTCCAGACCAAATTCTTGCCCAAAAGTAAAGGTGGAACACACCTGGAAATGCACAATGCTCACCTGATGCTGCACTCCTGGATTGAAGAGGCTACTTCATCATGTTTGTGACTTCTATTCTGCTGTTGAACAAGGCAGGAGAAGCAATCTTGACCATTAAGAAGTAGCATTCTTCTTAATTGCTCAGTTCCCATATGTCACCAGAAAACTAAAACGTGCCAAATGAGCCAGCACTATTATTTGTAATTTCATGGTAGATTTGGGAAATATGGCAATTTCATGGAGACTCCTGGACTCTTATGGAGGAAAAAAAACTTGATTTCATGTTAAATCAGGTGAAAAGATATACTTCACTGGATTTCTACAATTGCTTGAATTTCTTTAAATCTAAAAAAAATGCTCATTAATTCTCTAACAGTTATGGGGAATGCAATATATTTACCTTTCAGTTGGGATATACCCAACAGATTATACTTTTAGTATTACATCACATGCTTTAGGAGTTTTACTCATGTTAAATGTTTGTTTTGTTATTATTTTTTAAAAATTATTTTCTTAAAAGATTCCATTTCCTGATTTTCAAAGTATAAAAAGAATATGAATTTAATTCTATTGGCCTGAATGCTATGGAAAAATGAAAACATTTTAAGGAAATTAAATGCTTTATTATAAAAATGTCATACATATCATCATCAAGTACTTCATATGAAATATACAGTTCAAACATTTGAAATTCAACTAGGGATGTTTACCTATGGAAGTGACAGAAAATGTCTATTTTTATTTTCTTCATTTTTTCCCAGGCAAATGTTGAGGGCTTCTAAATAACTGCTTTGCTCCATTAGTAGCTGTTAAGCATGGATCCTTTCTTGGAAAGTAGAAGGGAGAGACTCATATTCATTTGAAGTTGAAATATTTCAGGGCTATGAAAAAAGGATGTGACAAAATTATTTAGCAAATTAAGGTGGGGAAAACACATGTAACGTAATACAAAGCATTGCTTATGTAGCAGGAAAAAAAACCCTCAGCAAAACCACTACAATTCCTTGGATTTATCTGGTTGCATGGCAACGTGCCTACAGATGAGTTAATTAGTTCTGCCCCCATGGTAACCCTACTAATATCCTTTAAAGCAGTTAAGAAAAATGAAGCTATACCTCACACCTTTTTGGTGTCATTCCTTGTCCTTATATTTCGAACCATGTGATTCCTCCCTGATTCAGTTAAACCATCAATAATTCTATACTAGCCAAGCAGCTGAAATGTTGTGTACTCATAATCCAAAACTTTGACAATTAGAAAGATGTGAATGGAAAACCTTTTCCTAAACTAGAGTCCATGAAATCTACATCAAATACTTCTATGCTGATTTTTTTTTTTGGGGGGGGGGGTAGATAAGTTATTCACAAAATCCTTAGGGCAGGAAAATCATAAAAAGTATAAAAATAAGTGTTTATACCTGTGAAAACCTGGGACACTGAACCTCCGGAAACAAATTTGTATGAAATTACCCAAATAGTATGGAACATTCTGACTGTGGAATTCACACAGACCTTCACATCCAAACTGCATGTTTACCATACTTACCCCAAAATCCAATAAACCTAAATTACAGGAGTTTCCTTCAAAAACAAGAGATTGGATAGATTAAAAAGAAACTATCTGCCTCCCTTGCCATCTTCTTATTGAATCCAGGATGAATCTTCCATTTTAAAGCTACATCATTTAAAGCAAAAAATTAAACTTGCTTTCAGGAAAATACAGTAAGTCTCATGAATGGTTTTAGTAGATAGTGAAAACATATTTGCATAGTGGGGATTTATTTTGCATAGAAATCCAAACCACTAAAATAGTTTCAGTTGAAAATGATCTCTCCTCCAGTCCGGTAAGAGGAGTGATGATGTTGATGATGTTATTATCCGTTCAGTCATATCCATCTCTTGGCGATTCTATGGGCCAGATCTCTCCATATCTTCTGATCTTGCACTGCTTCTTTGAGTTTTTCTATGCTCTGCCTGGTGTCAGCTTTGATGGTGTTCGGCCATTGTGTTCTTTGGTGGCCTCGTTTCCTTTTACCATTAACTCTTCCCAACACAATTGCTTTCTCCACTGAATTCCTCTGCATGACATGGCCAAAATAAGTGAGATGCAGTTTTGTGATTTGTTTTTCTTCCAAGAGGATTAAGAGTAAACTTATTCAATTTTGTATGGGGTAAATGGTTTGAGCTGCAGACTGGTGAAGGAAAGGGGGTTATGTTAGCTATGAATGGCACAAGACACAAACACGGGACAACTTTGTTTTTTCTCTGTCTCTATCATCTCATGTTCTTTCTGTTTAGGATAATACCAGGGAAGGAAAGAGATATGAACTGAACATTTCCATGTAGTTTTTGAACAAATCATATGAAAATAGTCCAAAGGTAAAAGGTTACTATTTGTTTTACATCATCTGCCTTTGGAATTACCCTATGACTTGAAACCTCCATACTATACACAGAACTAAAAATGTCTTGTCCAAGTTCAGGGTCTAGCAAAAGAGTAGTTATTCTGTCCAAAGTCTAATTCTAAAATGTTGTACTCGGTGCCAGAGAGACAATTAAAAAGCCAAAAGCCCAAACTGGTCTTTAGGGATTCATCCATGTGTCTTGTTTGTGCTGGCATGAAGATGCTCCACTAACCATTTGGTGGTCACTCAACCTATCTTCAGCCACTTAAAGCAACTTTTCCCCCTTCCTTCCTTGGTCTGTTTCAGAAATCATGTTTTCTCGTTTGCTTGGCACCAGTCATATTGAGAAGTCAATGTATGGAAACAGTTCTAAGTTTAGTTATGGGCCCTGCTCCTATAGACCAATAGAGGCTATTGCAGACATACTCATTCATACCCATACCGGTATCTGGTGCTGATTTGTATGTGTGTGGGGGGGTGGATTTACTTTTTGGCATTGGGGAATCATTTCCTTGCTTTTCTTGCCAATCTAAAGGTGGCAGGGGAAGTGTGGAGAGGAACCAACTGAGATTGGTTCTTTTGGTGCCACTTCTCCAATTACACTTGGAGTACATATGATGAATGTGGTGGGAGTTGTGATGGCATAGGAGCTATGGTGGCACAGTGGTTAGAATGCAGTATTGCAGGCTAATTCTGCTGCTAGGGTTGAGTCCTGACTGGCTCAAGGTTGACTCCACCTTCCAATCTTCCAAGGTCAGTAAAATGAGGACCCAGATTTTGGGGGACAATGTAAACCACGTAGGGTTGTAAAGCATTGTGAAGCACTATGTAAGTCTAAGTGCTAAGTATGTGGCCTCTGTATCACACTATGATGTATAAGGGAAAGGGAACTGGTATGTTTTGTACCCAGATTCTAAAACTTAGAGTTTGGTTTAGTCAGAGCTTGAAATATGGAAAAGGTTATGGAAAATGGAGGATGATTAGGGACCAGAAACAATGACCTATGAAAAAAGATGAATGCTTTAATCTGATAGGATGAATTACATGGCCCATTCCAACCTACAATACTATGATTTTAATGTATACAATTTTCATTACATTTTTCTGATATAGCATCATAAGGATTAGTTACCTGACAGAACTGTTTTCAAATGATTTGTTTTACTTATGAATTTTTATACCAAATGTCCCTAATCTGGTGTCCGCCAGATGTGTTTGACCATTACTCATATATGCCACAACTGAAACTATCTTTATCACTATAGAACAAGAAAAAGCCAAGCTATGCACCGCATATGCTTTTGCTTTTGTGGCATTTCACGCTGTAAATGCACATGGAATATATTACAAAGTACCTCATTTATTTGCAAAGTCAGTAAGGTAAGATAATTAGAGAGGAAAGTAGAGAGGCCAGAAGAAATAGGATGCATTCTGTAATATAGCAATCAATTTTTGCACTCTTGAAACTTGAACCATCTCACAAATTATTTTAAAAAGAAAAAAAGGAAGGAAGGAAGGAAGGAAGGAAGGAAGGAAGGAAAGAAAGAAAGAAAGAAAGAAAGAAAGAAAGAAAGAAAGAAAGAAAGCTCCATTTACCAAAGAACATATAAACTGGAAAGAGAAATACTGTATTCTTCCTCTTGGAAGGACGTGTTGCTCAGAATAATTGCAGGGTTGAGTGGTCCTTGGTGCTCTCTGAGCTTGGTTGTTTTCTTGCAGATATTTCATTACCCAAACTAGGTAACATCATTAGTGTGGTGGATAATGAAACATCTGAAAAGAAAACAACCAAGCTCAGAGAGCACCAAGGACCCCTCATTTCAACACTGAGCTACAAATAGTCTCCTTTATTAATTACAGTGTTCTAATCTCTGCATCTCTCTTTTAAAAAAAAAGTTTCCATATAGTGGAACCAGAAGGACCATGCCTAAATCCGTGACAGACCAATGTAAGGTCTCTATAGAAAGCAAAGACCCTTTGAAATTCCAGTGAATCACTCAGAGGAGATTAGTCTATTTGAAGGCATCCTTTACTGCAAGGGTGAATACTGCAAGACCCCACAGATGTCTCTGAAACCTTTGCTTGCAGCCACCTCCAATTCTTAGAAAAATTACCATGGAACTGTAATTATAAAGTGCAACCAAGAGAAATCTATTAAATAATGGGGGAAGGGTAATTATATTAACTCTCATTAAGTATTTTAATCAAATTAAGTTTATAATTAATTGTAATTTAGTTCTGATTCTGGCTATGCTTGTTTGAGTGGGAGGATGGATGCAAATCTACCAGATCATTGGAATGCCTGGTATATCTTTGACTACAACACAGTTGTATGTCTGTGTCTCTTGGAATGATGGAACAGTCTGAGTCCAGTTTAAAAAGAAAGAGGAATCAGGATTTTTGAATTCTCCATCCACACATTGCACGTGGACAGTAGATTAAAGCAAAATGAAAGTCAATTTGATACTTCTTTTTCATTATAGCAATGCATATTTATTTACAGCAGTGTTTTTCCAAACCTTGGCCATTTTAAGATGTGTATATTTCAACTTGCAAAATTTTCCAGCCACCATGTTGGCTGGGAAATTCTGGGAACTGAAGTCCACACATCTTAAATTGGTCAAGTTTAAAAATACTGATTTACATGAGAGTGCTTAAGGCTATATATGTATATAGGGGCATAAATTAGGTATATATGCAAATTTATACTTACTTTCATCTGTGTTTTGGTGGGGAATTTCATCCTTCTGGATTTTTTTTTAAGTAATATATAAGTAGCCAGGCTAATTACAGTTTGACTCTTTTGCAGTTAGTAACTTGGTGAGTGCCTGAGAAATGCAAAACAGTGTGATTTTATTCTATAGACATTCTCAAAGGGACAAGGACAGCCATTTGTGTATTACTGTCACATTTAGTTTGACCTTTAATATCCACCCTGATACTCCCCAGTCCTTTCAAATCTTGCACGTGCAATTGAGTTTAGAGAATCTTGGCTGGACTTTATCTTGATATTTGTTTCAAAAACCCAGGAATTTGCATTAGTCCAATGCTCTCATTAGCATTAAACCAAGGCTAACCCAAATGAAATGAAGGTTAAAATAAAGATATGTGAAATTTCACAGAGAATGCTATTTTATATACGTTCTTTCTGCTGGATTTGACTATCCCTTGGATTGAGATTAATGAGAATGTACAGCCAAACAAAATGCCTATTATCGGATTTTATTAACTGTCTTTTAAACCCCCAATAAACCACTCTTTTATAATTGTTATTTGAATTCTAGCAGATGGGAATAACCCCACGAGCCGCATCTGGTAAGATTCCCTGCGCCCATTCAAGAATATTTACTGTGGTTCAGAGTTTTCCCAACAGCAATGCAATCAAACTATAGGATACCTGCTGAGCTGCCACCATAAAAACAATACTATGGAAATGCACCCCTTCCTGCAGGCAGCACAGCTAATGTGCTCCAAGATTTCCTTCCACATATGGGCTCTCTCCAAACGTAGCTATAAGCTACTGCCTTTATGGCCTTGCCAGCACTTCAGCCAATGCTGCCTGCCTCCCTCCCCACCCCCATTTCCCAAGAAAGGGACCCTGAACAAAGCTAGGGAGTCTGGTATACCCTTTTCTTGATTTATTAAAAAGCATAAGCTTTAAAATGGCATAACCTGCAGCTTCTTATTGTTAGTCGGAAAAGAGGCTACCAGACTATTAAATTTTTGTCACAACAGGCTAACATGGCTTACCTACCCCTCCAATGGGAACAATGCTACCAGACTAGAAAATACTCTTCACAAAGCAGTAAAAGTTTCATGTTGGACACAGACTGCATGCATTGTACGAGGCACACACTGTGTTTTCCAAGTCAGTATGCTCTTTTTACCCTTGAAGTTGCCAGGGCAACCAAGAGGGAGCAACAAAAAAGCAACTGGCTAGCTGTGTGCATATGTAAGACAGGGTGTTTTCTAAACACAACCCAAATAAGGGCTGTAATCTGAGAAGTGGGTTGCGGTATTACAAACATTAACTTGATCATAGCCAAAGATGAATACCTCAAAATGATAGCAGTTACTAGTGGGGATTATTAAATTTGCATTTGAATTTCATATTTTCATACCAGTATATGAACCAAAACTTAGTTAAGCCTCAATAATCAGTTGTTTTCTGAATGTTACAGTGCAGTTTGTTAATAATCATTGAAAAATATGAGAAAAAAATGCCACTTACTGTATTTCTTAAAATAATGCCCCAAATATATTACATCAGGCAAAATAAAAGTGTATATTAGGCAAACTGTAAAGAATACATACGCTCAGAGAATCAGGCACAAATATTTAGAAAGCAGATACAAATTTTAGGGAAATTTCTTTTAAAAAATCTGAAATTCAATAAATTGGCCTTATTGGCAAAATAAAGGAGGAAACAGTTGTTAACTCCCATGTTATTTGGAATAAAGTTCCTTTCTAATTCTTTTGGACTAGACAAAGGCTGTGAATTATATTGGATTAAGCTGCATGTTTTCTTAAATACATATATAGTACAGTTTTCTTTATTCAAAACAAATACAAAAAAGTAATGCAGACTGCGATCAAGTGATGAAAATGAATCTCCTTCCACCAAGTTACAAAATTGGGTTTTCACTAAAAAAAATCACCCTCATTTTGCCAATCAAGTTTTGGATGGGATCGTGGCTGAGAAAAAATTTCACTTTTCTTTCTTTACTGTATACTTTATCATATCCATATTATGGATTTAATATACTGTGTCATTTGAGTCTTGGTCGCCATTAAATCATAACACGATCAACTCTTGTTTTTATGGGATTTGCTATCACAGTGGTTGAATCTGGGATATTGCACTGTTTAAATATCCATTTATTTACGAAAATGCAGTTTCAGCATGTACAAGAAGGGTCAAGAGTGGCTAGCATCCAGATGAAGAGCATTAATATAGCACAAATTTCCCTGGGGAGAAAATGGCATGCTACTTTAATGCATCTGTGGTTTTATCACCTGTAAAACTCTGGGCTCTATCATTTTTCAGATTCAGATACCAAATTACGTCCCACCCAAGTAGATGATAGCAGGCATAAGCCAAATACCATTAAATCAGCTCTAAAACAAGTAGAGATAAATGTTGTCTTGCTCGATATTTCTACCATCATACCTATTAAAAGAAGAAAATTGAGATAGATATACTGAAGATTAGTATTTTATCAATGTTATTTATTTATAACGCTTCCATCCAGATTTTTTATAATTAAAAACAATGCAGTTTATTTTAAAACTTTAATGACCACAAGTTTGGTTGAGTAGTGGTTTAGTAATATTGTTGGAGTATCTACATTAAACAGCCACAAGAGAGGAAAACTGTTTTGTAAAGATCTATGCTCTAGTCATACAAGCTATAACAGGATAATTTTGCTCTTTTCCCACAACCAATCTCTATTCTGCTTCAATGACAAGGATGGAACTGATGGTGCCCTAACAGTTTGTTGCAGAGCATATTAAAGTCCTTATCATATACCACTTTTCGTTGATGGTAACACACTCCTGGCTAAGAGGCAACTTGCCCACACCAATCAAAGTTGGGTAGATCCTACCCAACTCTTGTTATATTGGGAGAATGCAATACAGTTCAGAAAACAGACATAATTGACCTTATTATAAATAAGAGACTTCATCATGAGGAGGTGACCTACAGGATCGGTAGTGAAGTATCTTCAAAATGAAGTTATAGGTGTGTGTAGAAGTGCCCTAGGTACCCTAGTACATGATTCTAGCATGCCCAGGATTTATATTAATCTTTCCCACACAGTGATACTGAAGCTTCTGGCCTTCTAAATCTGAACTATATATTTTGCTGATAAACTAGAATCATAGAGTTGGAAAGAATGCACCCCTAGAAGATGATTACCCCGATTTTCCTTAAAGATATGCAATGATGTAGATGTCCTGAAAAATTTACTTTATGGAATCCATCACTGAATTACTTTTACCTTAGGTATATGCTAACTTTCAAAATTGACTCTCCTGTTGTATAAGTCATTTTAGTCTAATCCTACTCGCTGATGCAACAAAGAGTAAGGATAATTCCCCACAAGAGTGTGCTCCAAATTAAAAGCAATAATGAAGCTACTTGATCCCATGATGTCAGCAATATTGGAGAGCTCAGCTAGTATATTTCCTATTCAGATGCCGGGCAGTTGAAATTAGTTTAGTTTGCATTTTCTTTTACCATGCTTTGTAATGTTTCCTTTTTGGAAAGTACTTTTCATCACACCTCCTTTCTAAGTGTCAGTTGCCTAAAAGAGTCTTTAAGGAAATGTTACCTTGACAGCTTTGCATCTCCCCTCCATAGCCTTGAAATGAGCAAGAGTAATACAGTATAAATGTCCCCCTTTTTTTGGCAACAACTTCATGAAAAATATCATACTGCTAATAAATTTACCCAAATTTATTTGCTTTTGTTTTATGTGAAGTGATGATTTTATTCTTTCAAGACTTGAGGCAATTCATGATGGTACAGTGACAGAAAGATATTTGTTGTTTCTTATTCTCAACATTTCTGAATTAACAGAAGGGAAGGCAGTTTCTCAAACTGCCTTTGAGGGATTAGAGAGTGGAAATGCCCTTTGCTCTTTTCTATAGGTCAGATTTTTAGGTATTTGAAGAATATTGTAAACTCGGTCCACTGTCTTAGCTTCCTGAGAATTAGAGAAAGGAATTAGGAACTTCAACTAGTATATTCACTACTCCTTGAAGCTAAAGGAAAAGATGTGCAAACACACTCAATATGTCCATCTGTGTCTTTCTAAATATAATTTCTAGGCCAGAAAAGACATAGGGAAAATCATGTTAGGAGAGAGAGAATTGTACTCCATATTATTAGGTCTCAATTAAAATCACCCAGAGATTGCTATTAGCATTAGAGTAGGTGCTCTTGTTAGTGCCATTGAGTCCAATGGTCAGAAATTTGTGGAGGAAAAAAATTGCACTGGACTTCCTTAGATTTAGGGGTGGGAAGATTTAAATATCCTCTTTTGCATAAGCAGCACCCACGATTTGGTAATTTGGTAATACAAAGTCGGAGCTAAGAGAAAGGATTACAAATTTGCAGAAATAAATAATAATAATAATAATAATAATAATAATAATAATAATAATAATAATAATAATAATAATAATAATAATAATAATAATAATAATAATAATAATAATAATAATAATAGTAAAGTTGGAAGGGACCTTGAAGGTCATCTAGTCTAACCCCCTGCTCAGGTAGGAAACCCTATACCATTTCGGACAAATGGCTGTCCAGTCTCTTCTTAAAAACTTCCAGTGTTGGAGCATTCACTGCTTCTGGAGGCAGGTTGTTCCACTGGTTAATTGTTCTCACTGTCAGGAAGTTTCTCCTTAGTTCTAGAACAAAACAAAAAAAAACCATTGGTCAGTGCAATCAGTCTGTGGTAGAAGAAAGATTAATTGAATAGCACTTTGAGATGCTGGTTTTAAAGAGTCATGCATGGGCAGCATGGAAAAGGTGACCCCCCCTTTCTTTTTAAAGACTGCAACAGCCGTTTTTACTTTTATAAAAAAGTTGAGAGAGTTACAAAGAATCTGGCATCTCATATATTTAGTCTGCATACACCTCCTTGATGCCAGGAATCCATTAGTAGTGAGAAAAGAGAATGCTTGCATGCACAAACATAAAGTAACACAGCACCAAATTAAAGCATCACTTCCATTTCACACTGCCCCTGCTTTGGGCTAATTAGCAGATAAATTAAAACTCACACTTGTCAGCCATGGCAAGAGCACACTGAAATCATTCTGGAGGCAATGGCACAGTGTTAAAATAACATGAAAATATTTATATCTTAAATAGTGCTCACCTTAAAGCTACCAAAATATTTTCTTGCTAAGGAGCAGGCTCAGACCGGCTGATTACTTTTGCAGCTGTGCTAGAGTTGAGATTTATTTAAGTTAAATAAAAAGAAGGAATATGGTGACTGGCTTTATACAATTACATCCTAGCTTCAAAGCAAAATGCTACAGATGCTATGGAACTGTGTATAGTTTCCCAGCAGAGGTAAGTTTTCTGATGGCAAGGAATATTCCCAGATGTTTCACATTAAAGCTATTGGATGCGTGAATTCTGAATGACAATGGCAGACTATAACTGGTATCTAATTATATTTTGCACTATGGGGCAAAGCTACCATAGCAGTCAGTCCAGAAGAACTGCAAGAAATAAATCAAAGATGAAACAAAGGAGGGTGGTTTGTTGATTCTTGGCAAAACATCTAATGAGAGAAACATGGAAAAGGAGCCTAGAATCAGTCAGTTTTTTTCCTAATTTCAATCAAACCAAAATAGGGAAGGAAGGGGCGATGAGAACATGCCTTCCTTTTCATCTATGTCCTTTGTTGGAAAATCAACAACAAGAAAGACATATAGCAAATTGTTCATGTGAATCCCCAATAATAAAGCTTAAATACTGTGTTTTGTACACATAAAAGCAAAGACACCAGTCATTGGAAAAACCTCAATAGTTGGAAAAAAATAAAGATAATTGAAAAAGCAGCTGAAAAACAAGATAGGTACATACTGCCAGTGATGACATGATGAGCTTACAAAAATTTGAAGAAGCAGTTACTGACAGTCAATCCTTGTGAAATTATTTTCATAAAGTCATGAAGAATCAGAAAAAGTCAAGCACTGCATAACAACAATAATACATAGCACTGTTTCAGTTTTGTTTTGGCTCTCCTAAATCTCTAAAAAAAACTGCACAGAAAGGTGTAATGAAAGGAAAGGAAGAGAGTAGCAACATAATTGAATGGATGGACCTCAATCATAATCATTACA